AAATTAATTATAAGAAAAACATTTACTTTTGTATTAATTTGGAAAATTATTAATTATGTAATTAATTTAATTTTTATGACAGAAATTAACGACTTACAAATTTTTAGTTTACCCCTATGAGTCATTATGCAAATAATTATTTCTAAAGTTACAGTTTAAATTATTTTATAAATTTAACTAATTTTAAGTATTGCTTTTAAATACACAATAAGTATGATTAATCATATTTATAATAATTGCAATGCTAGGAACCCATATATTGTCCTTGTACATACACTTGCACTTATAACTTAATAGCAATATAAACAACAATAATACATTTATATTATATAAATTATACAGTATATAAAGCAAAAAGTAACAATTGCAATGCTAGGAACCCATATATTGTCCTTGTACATACACTTGCACTTATAACTTAATAGCAATATAAACAACAATAATACATTTATATTATATAAATTATACAGTATATAAAGCAAAAAGTAACATTTTTATATCTATGACCGATGATATTAATGCAGCATGCTAAGTCATCTAATTGCAACTCATATTGAAAGCAGTTATAATAACTAATATTTTGTTAGTGTTAATAAATAAATTATTATTTATAAAATATAGTTTAATTTTTAATAGTGTATATCTGTACAAAAATAACACTTAAAAACAACCATGCTGCCCATAGTATTTAAACATTGGAAACATAGTTTGACAATAATTATATGTATCACAAATTTTGTCGCAGTGTGTATTAATAATTTCTACCATACTTTACAAAATTATGTATATAGTACTGTAAACTTAATTATATAAATTATATATAAATAGGTGCTACCTGGTGGTATGATATCACTCACGTACCCGACACTTGCCACTATTTACCAGGTTCAATATGAAAGTATAGAAACTTGTGGTACTTTCCAAACTATTGGCGCTTTGTTTTGCGTAGGTAGGTTATAAATTATTTAAAAATTATAATTATTATTTAAGTTATAATATAAATTTAAGATAAAATTATAAAAAGTACATTGATATTAATTTTGAAAATTACCAACTTATTATACTTACAATAATAATGACAATTAACTATGCTTTTATTTTAAATTAATTAAGTTTTATTGGTGAATAATACATTTAAATCTTAATTGTAAATAACATTATATATTTAATTTCAATATTTTAGGTTGCTTATTTATATTATTTACCTTCATCATACATTATATTTAAAACTATATTATCATTATTTAGCATATTACTTGTGTAAAACATTTTTATAATTTATAAATTCTCTTATTTCTCTCATTAATTATATAAAATTATTATAATTTTTAAATCTCTCTCTCTCTCTCTCTCTCTCTCATACACACACACACACACACACTCATTTTTAATATTATATTATAATTAAAATAAAAATTAATTTAAAACAATTTAGTTCTTGGTTTCTGTCAAGTAAACAAATCCATTGCATCAATAATATGCTTAATACTAACGGCTATATCAGTGGCACTCATACCTGATTTAAAGATAATTAGCTTATTATACTTATTAATGGTTATCTACGGCACCGGGAGCAACAGTATTATCATAATATTCACGGCATGGATACCACAGATATGGGGTCAGGAGTGCGGGCCTTACCTGCAGGCGCTGGAATTCATGACAAGTATAGCCGGAATAGTCGGCCTGCAAATACTAAACCCATTTCTACCTGATAATTCAAGTTTAACTAATGATAATATTATAAATTACGATACGATCAAGGTGATACAATCGAGACTCGCAATACCATTCGCCATAATAGGGATAATTATTGCAAAATACTAAACCCATTTCTACCTGATAATTCAAGTTTAACTAATGATAATATTATAAATTACGATACGATCAAGGTGATACAATCGAGACTCGCAATACCATTCGCCATAATAGGGATACTCATTGCAATCTTTGCGCTAATTATAGGTTCTGTGTATTTATTCTATACACATATCCCACAGAATATTCTTGCTGCAAATGTGAGTAACCCGGACACAAATGATGATACAAGTGCCATGAACATATTTCAAAAATATTGGCATAATTTAAAATATCGTTTCAAAACACAATTAATGCCTACAAAACGCATACTTGTGCTGATCTGCCTGTGCTCTGCGCTATACGCTATGTTTAACGGCATAAGCACCTCAACCAATATTAATCTGTCAGAGTTTGCACAGAAATCGGAACTACATGTCAGCCCATCATATGTTACATCCATTACCACCGGTATCTCAAGGGCAGGTGCTATAAGCCACTTACTGGCTATACCCCTATCCAGATATATAGGCCCTAAGTATCTCATATTAATTGGTTTACTATTAGTATTATCAGCACAAATAGCACTACTATTTACTAATAGATCCCTGATCAGTTTATGGACAGGTTGTATAATTTATGCTGTAGGTTATGCACCATTTACAGCCAGTACCTATCAAATGGTCGAACAAATTTTCCCGTTAACTCAGCTAGTTGTTTTACAATTGCTTATACTGTCAGCAATAATGGAAGAAGTGGTACCCATAATATTGCGTCCACTAATGGAAATCAATGTGTTTTATATGGTTTATATAAATATTCTGTTTACTGGACTAGCCCTGGTTATATTATTAATGATTCAGCTAACGTTTTATCAACACTACCATGGTCATATAATTGATCACGAAGTACATATTGATTCTGTAAATACAGAATCTTGCAATAGTTAGTTATAAATAATTCATGTATGACAATTATAATACAGTATTTTTATTGAATTATTTAAAAATTAATTAATTTATTTTAATCAATATTTAAAACCAATATAAATCTTGCAACTTTAATTTGGAAATATATTTAATTTCATTTAAGTTTATCTTAATTAATTAACACTACTGAAGTATTAAATTATTCTAACTTTTATATTAATGTTTACTTTTAATAACTAGTTTAAAATACTAATAAAATAAAGTTATTATGCTATATTATAAAATGTATGACAAACTTTACTAATTATATTTATATTTTTTTGAAATCTTAAGAAAATATCACCAGTCATATATCTAATGACAAAACCCCAGTAAAATATTAAAAATAAATTATTAGACTAACTCTAAATAAAAATTATTAATTGATTTTAAGCAAACTTGAGATTAATACTAATTTATTGGTGAAATGAAAATGACTGTAAATGTTGAGATGATTAGTTAGAATTCTTGTAACCAATGGTTGAATTCATTTTGTTTTACATTTTGGTGTAAATGTGTTGACTGGAAAACACGTGTCGATTAGTAATTGTCTGGAGATAGACATTACATTCAATACATTCCCAGTGTTTGTCCACAAGTCTAATGTCACGTATGCCTCCACTCTATATGACTGCACATTAGCCCATATAAGAGGTCTCTATTCCCATACACACAGCAGTCTATATCCAACATGGAATGTGTGAACACAATTAAGTCTCAGTTATTGTCAATTCATTTGAATGTATTATCATTTGTGTTTAATACTATTAATAATATAATAATGTCTCAAATCTGTGCGAAAGACTCTTTGGACAGATTTGGTGACGATTTATGTCAACACTTATTGAGTTACCTATCGCTGAAAGACCGATTCAAATATGAATGTCTGTCCAAACAGTGGCAGAGAGTGGTATTCAATACACAAACACGACTCGAATTAAAGTATAAGTATTTTCATCGAGACTCCTATCGCTATGCAAAAGAATACGATCTGAATAATGATCCGAAAGTCTATACAAAGTTTGAATCAATGCTTAAAAAGTTACCGAAAGTTATGTCCATTGAGTGCTGGGATGAGGGGTTTGACGATCAGGTGATTGAATTGATTACCAAATATTGCGGTCATTTAAACGCTATTTTCGGTTGTTTTGTCGCGAAGATCAGTATCGATATGATTGATAAGTTTTTTGCTAAATTTGCTAAACAATTGAAATTCATTAAAATATATGAAAATGTAATAATGAATAAAGCGTTTCGAGAATCATTCGCTGAAAACTTGAAATTATGTGAAAATATAACATATCTTTGTGTTGTATTTGATATCTATTGGAAACTACTGTCAAATCCGAGTGTATTGTTCCAAAACTACACAAAGTTTTTGTTAATATTATGGATGATCTGGATTATGATTTTAGCGCATCGTGTATTGATATAATTAATCCACAATTTATTGCATTCATTGATAACTATCGGCATATTATTAAGTCAATTAATTATCACAACTATGACATATCAAAAGAATTTTCAATTAAAGCATTATTTAATGGTTTGTATTAGCTAATAGTTAATAACTTGTAATAATAAATATAAATAAATAAATAAAATTTTAGTAGTACTAATTTATAGATTAATGGAAAATATCATTTATAACCCAGGTCTATCACAAATGCCTGAATTACGGGAAATACAGATCAATATCTATGTTGAGGAAGAAATAGGTACAGGGTGGCCAAAATATGGCAACCCTACTTTGATTTTAATTTATTTTAATACTAACTTGTTTATTTTATTCATTTATTTACTAAATTGTAGCTGGATAGTTAGGGTTTTGTTTGGTATATGATTTGTCCATGTCAGTAATAACCAAAATTTTAACAAGAAATATCATTTTAAACATGCAAACTTTTTTATACTTGCAATTCATACTTATATGTTCACAAGTTGAGATTTATTATAAACTGTAATTCCACGTTTTATTAAAGATATTTACTAAACTGTAATTTTATAAAAATTTATTTTATTCTCTATAAATGAATTTAAATACAAAATCAAATAATGTTATTGAAAATAGTGAATTACAGTTTAAAATAAATCTAAATATTAAGTGTGAATTGCATAAAAAGTAAAAAAACTTTGCATGTTTAAAATTATATTCCTTGTATAAAATTTTGGTTAATACGGACCTGGATAAATCATATACCAAACAAAACTATCCAGCTACAATTTAGTAAATCAATGGATAACATAAACAAGACGGTATTTAAATAAAATAAAATCAAAGTAGGGTTGCCATATTTTGGCCGCCCTGTAACTTGCATTGAGTTTTGCAGTCAAACAAAATATGCAATTTTATTCTAAAAATGTTGTTGAATTAGTTTAATTTGATTAAATAGTACATTTTACAATTGTTTCTTTGTGTTAATTTGATGAACTTTCAAACAATTCAGCTTTCTAAACGAATGAATTAAATTTAGTTTATGCAAAAATAAATAATTAATTAAATTGATTATATTATATTGTAAGCTTTTCAATTATACCCCTCCTCTGAGTACTTTTGAATGACATTTTAACAAAACTCAATAAATCAATGAATTAATGAATGAATGAATTTGTTTTATAGTTGTTTCCGAAGTCAATGATTACAAGCGTTTGTACGAAGAGTTGCATTCATTAGGTTCGGGAGCTTTTGGGGAAGTATTTGTTGTTAACCGTAAATATGATGGACGAGAATATGCGGTTAAGAAAGTAAGATTTGAAAGTAATTAAATGTATTGCATTTATTTATTATAGGAGTACAGAATTAAAATATATTTTTACAGATAACCTAAATTTGTTGGAATATTACGAAGAAATGAATAAATTGATAAAAGTTAGGTCAGAATATTGTGTCCAATATATAGGCCAATGGAACGATGAAAAAGTGTATTACATTCAAATGGAGTTATGTTCTCATAGTCTGCAGAATATTCTTCAACACAAACCACAAGTATTTGGTCGACAACCGGGAGAACCCATGAATTCAATTGAGTTTTACATTTCGTGTCATATATTCAAAGAGATCTTAGAATGCGTTAATATAATATATCTTTGTGTTGTATTTGATATCTATTGGAAACTACTGTCAAATCCGAGTGTATTGTTCCAAAACTACACAAAGTTTTTGTTAATATTATGGATGATCTGGATTATGATTTTATATAATTAATGAGAGAAATAAAAGACTATAAATTATAAAAATGTTTTACTATACTATACTAAATAATGATAATATAAATATAGAGGTATGAACAAATCTCATGAGAACGAAATGAATATTCTGTAAATTCTTTATCCTTAATCAGAAACAGTCCTAAAATATATTAAATTAAAGATAAGAATATAATAAACATTTGAGTGAAAACACAATTTGATTATCTTTTAAATTGGCCAAGATAATTAGTCCCGAAGTTGATGGTGTGGTTTTAATTTTTTTAAGGCTTCGATGACCATATAATAAGATAAAAAATAAGCTGAAGAAGAATATCATGGTCAAAGACAATATAAATTCTAAAATATATAAGAATTTTAAAATATTTCTAAAAATCGGAGATATTTGACCGAAACAAAGTCTTAACCACCGGAACAAAGTTTATAAAATTTTTGACATTTTAACCGAATTTTGACGTGATTTTGCAATCGTAGGTCAAGTTCATATTTCGGTCATTTTATTCCAATTTTTTCCAATTTTAAACTTTATTTTACATTTCTATCAAATAGTAAATAAATGGTAGACATAATCTTTTCCTGGACCATAATATTCTTCCTCAGATCTTTATCTTAATATATGGGTTTCTATGGGTTAAAAAAGTTAAAACCACACCATCAACTTCCGGACTAATTATCTTGGCCATTTTAAAAGATAATCAAATTGTGTTTTCACTCAAATGTTTATTATATTCTTATCTTTAATTTAATATATTTTAGGACTGCTTATTTACAGAATTTACAGAATATTCATTTCGTTCTCATGAGATTTGTTCATACCTGTAGTTTTAAATACAATGTATAATCATTATACTATAATGTATAATGAAGGTAAATAATATAAATATGCAACCTAAAATATTGAAATTAAATATATAATTTTATTTATAATTAAGATTTAAATTCGCCAATAAAACTTACGTAATTTAAAATAAGAAAATAAGAGCATAGTTATTTGTCAGTATTAGTGTAAATATAATAAGTTGGTAATTTTCAAAATTAATATCAATATACTTTTTATAATTTTATCTTAAATTTATATTATACCATAAATTATAATTATAATTTTCAAATAATTAATTGATAACCTACCTACGCAACACAAAGCGCCAACAGTTTGATAATGACCACAAAAAGTTTCTATACTTTCATATTGAACCTGGTAAATAGTGGCAAGTGTCGGGTACGCGAGTGATATCATACCATCAGGTAGCATCTATTTATATAATATAATTTATATAATTAAGTTTACAGTACTATATACATAATTTTTTTAAAGTATGGTAGAAATTATTAATACACACTGCGACAAAATGTGTGATACATATAATTATTGTCAAACCATGTTTCCAATGTTTAAATACTATGGGCAGCATGGTTGTTTTTAAGTGTTATTTTTGTACAGATATACACTATTAAAAATTAAACTATATTTTATAAATAATAATTTATTTATTAACACAAACAAAATATTAGTTATTATAACTGATTTCAATAAAAGTTGCAATTAGATGACTTAGCATGCTACATTAATATCATCGGTCATAGATATAAAAATGTCACTTTTTGCTTTATATACAGTGTTTGACAAAACCCTTTGCACTCGATGTCTTAATATTACTATATGTTACAGTTGAGCTAGATCAATATAAAATTTTTTCGAAATCTGATACATAGGAAATATTGATTT